TTTAAAAGACCGAAAGCCTGTTTTCTGGCAAATGGAGTTGGAACTTGATGTGGCATGTCGATCCAAACCTATGGATGATGGGGCTGATGATAAGGGTCTTGAGGTGGATGGTAATGAACTGAAAGAGATAAATGATGTGTTGATAGAGGTACAAGATGGAATGGTGAAGATGAATAAAATTATGGAAGAAGGTTTTCAAAGGATAAGCAGTATGTTTGGTGGGTATGAAACAAGGCTCAAGGCTGTGGAATCGTTTGTGAACTCTCAGGGATGGAATGATAGGGGTGATTTTGATTTTGATAAGCAGTATCGCCCTCGATCTAGTTTTTGGACTCATAGTGATTGCTCTGGTGGTGGACAGAAGCAAAAGGAAGCAAAAAGAGTGGAGAATGATCCATTAGAGAAGGATCCGAAGACTGAACTAGAGAAGGAGCCGAAGAGTGGAGTGGAGAAGGAGACAAAGGCAGAAGCTATCGAGAAGGAGCTAGAGGCAGAGGAAGCCGAGAAGGATCCGGAGAGTGGAGTAGATAAGGAGGCAGAAGCTGAGAAGGGGGAGGAGAGTGAAGTGGAGAAGGAGCCAGAGGCAGAAAAACATAATGAAGTTGTTGGTGAGAAGAGGATTAAGAAGCCATCAGCAGCAATGAGGACTCCCTATAGGGCTCCGAACCCAGCAAAGAGGAGCAAGAAGAATTGAAAAACTGATACTCATCCTCTTGTCTTGAACTCTATCTATTATATTTTGGTTTTTTCATGCAATTTGGTTTAAGGATTCCCTACTAGTACTTTTTATGGCAAACTGTAAATGTATCTTTGTTTTCAAACTGGATTTTGTGTTTGTGCTACTGGTACTTTTAGGTAAAACTGTGAACGGATGTTTGTACTACTGGTACTTTTAGGTAAAACTATGAACGGATGTGTATGTTTGATTCGAAATGGATTAGATCAATAATTGGAGACAAAATTAGTTTGTACAATCCAATAAAAACAAGTACAATAGAAGAACCAAACAAGTTTAACAAAACAATCCAAAACATACAAGTACAATAGAACCAAACAAGGGATCCCCAAACAAGTACTCGTTCAACATAGCAATCCAAAACAAAAAAGTAGAGTAAAAAAAGTTTCGGTCGCCGTCTCCTTTTCATCTCTTTCAGCTCTTCAAATCCGTTTCCAAATTCGTCACCTTTGCTTGAAGATTGAAAGCCATCTCCTTTAGGTCATTGATTTCCTGGTCACTTCTTACAACTTTGGTTACCATCTCAATGAGTTTATCGTTATGTTCCTTGTAAAGGTTGACCATCTCCTGAAGCATCCTCTTCTCTTTTTCAACAGTGGTGAGTAATTCAACTAGGCGACCTTCTATTTCTCCCAATTTGGTTTTGGTCAAAGTAATTTCCTCCAAGATTACGTCATCCAACAATTTGTAAATGTGGCAATCTCCATCCTATGCTCCAATTAATTAGATATGTAACAAACATTTAGCAAAATGATAAAAATAAAGAAATTTAGCAAAATGATATAAGTTTCTTACACGAATATCACCAGCACAAGAGTAGAATTTGGTCCCCATCAATAATCCAATTGTTTGAGTCTTAAGCAGAGCTGGTTTTCTACAGTAACATATGGTCGGAATGCCAATAGGTGAGGGCTCCCATGTCAGCGATGTTGGAGCAAATCGAGTCAGAGTTATATCTGCCATATAATCATAAGTGGGGAGGACGATTTCGTCATCCGAATCTGATGAGTTGCTATTGTTGGACCCAGTATCGAACTCGCCAAATATGTCCTCATGTTTCCAATGACCCATGGTTCTAGAATCGAAAATTTCTACAATAAAACTATAACCCAAAAAATATTGAAACGCGAAATGGAAGGTTGATCTACTTACTGTAATCGAAAATGGAAGCTATCAAAAATCCGAGTTTCGGTCGCCATCGCCGTTCACTGGAGATGATGAGGAACCCAGATGATGAACCCTAGATTTTGAGAGAAATTATGTTTACGGTTTTAATTAAAAAAAACCGCGACACCTTACTTTTTTAAATATTTGAAAATTAAAAAAAAAAAA